ACACAAAAATATATATATATATGGATAAAATATATGAAATATTACTATCGACAGACAAGATAGTATTTTAAAAGGCCTTTTAAAGATTTTTCTATAGCAAACACTGATTGAAGCCTGAGATACATTTATAATGTTGAATAAAATACTTGAACTTTTGCACCAGTACTGTAAGGCTTCAGTGCACAGATCACCAGGAACTTCATATATAAGCTAGGGAGTTTAAGGGGATAAGGAATGCCTATGGAATCAGGCCTTTTCTTTCCAATCTCTTTCAGGTACATTCAATAGCAAAACTTGCCATTAGAGATTAGTAGAAACTTTTTTTTTCCCCATTCACTATTAAAAATAAAATATCTGGAAGTGATATTTCTGATACATGGTTTTGCAGAGGGGTCCACATAAAATGCTAAGGTAATCCTGCAAAATTCTCTCCTAAGAATTCTCATTTGCTGTATGTATGCCTGCAGAAAGTTTGACAAAATGACCCCAGATGACACCTCATCATGAAAAGATTTGTCATGTCAAGAGTTAGTATGCTATAGCAGCCTCCACACGCAGGTATTAATTCCACATAGTATTTTATAAATAGTTTTATTCTAGGTTGTGACGAATAATTAAATCTGACCATAACAGCATACATACCTACATTACTAATCCTATGAGCTGTAAATGTTCCATGGCCCATTTCACCCATTTCTTCAATAGCTGTAGAGAAATAAACAGATCTTAAAAATACCAACACTATTTGTAATCTAAAAACACATACACAATAAATATGTATTGTTTTCCAAGGAGATAGGACACATTATCTCACAGAAAATGTCCAGTAATTAGACAGAAATTGAACAAGTTTATCTTTCATTTTAATAAAAGTTTCACTTTTTTTTTTGGTACCAACATAAATCTCTTACACTGTTTTCTATTTCTTAACCGCTAAATAAAGTATTCTTTCTTAGATGAATCTGTAATGCTGTTACACAGGAGAGCATCTGTTCCTTGCTTTGTGCTTTTCAGAATTTAACTACCATATTGGCCCAAATGTAAGGTTAAGTTTTTGAGTGTTTTTGGCTTTGTTCGGTTTTTGTTTGTTTCACTGTTATACTGTTTTGTTTGTTTGTTACACTTCAGCTACACTGAAGGTTGTCGTTGGATCATAGAGACTGAAATTAAAGGTACATAAAAGAGAATACAACAATACATGAGAAAGTTCATTTCCCTCTTGAAAGGTAAATATGTATTCTGCATTCTTAAAGCTGCCTGTAAATAAATTCACACTTTTATCCTCCCCTCAAAGGTTAAAAAAAAATTGTTGATCCTATTTTTCTCTACTTAAAGCAGTTATTTGGTTTTAAGTTGTAGCTATATAACATGGCTGCATTCATCCAGACAAATGAGGTAATTTTCCATATCTGCAGCAACTTTGGCCTATTTGTCTTGATCAAGTTTAATCTATACATCAATTTTCCACTTGTATATACACTTCAGTAGGATTTTTTTTAAAACATTAGTAGAGCAGTACAAAATATACAATTTACCTCAAAGCATTTTCTAACTTCCCTCTTTTCACAAGGTTAGTCCTTAGAAAGAGCATTTAAGCCTCCATCATCAATTTTACAGTCCATTTTCATCACTATTATAGTGGAGCTACTTTTTATTAATATGGGCAAACTGCTTTGAGAAAGCATTCTTACAGCATATGGTTTTGAAGCAGTAGTTTGAGAAAATCCCAACTGATCTCGCTCTGCACAGTCAAGCAGAGAAACTATGATTCAGCAGATTCAAAGAACATAAATCTACTTCTATTTTCATTCTTACAAACATAAGCCATGGAAAATTATACGTAGCAGATATATTGCTTACTTCAACTTGCATCTTTATTCCACAAGAAGTACTCCAAGTAGTGAGGCAGTTAGTTTAATTTTTAAAAAAAGCCACTGGATTTTGAAATTCAATATATTTGACAGTGACTTTCAGCACTTTGTTCCCTTTGCTGTTGAAAGGGCCATTAGAATTTTTGCAGGTAAATGTATGATGCATTTTATAACCTTAACCGAATAATTTCCACTGTGTTAATGCTCTCATTAAGTTCTGAGATCTGTTAGTATTTCTCCCAGTTGTGCAATCAGTATTAAAATCAAATAGAAATCAATTTACAATGAGATATAAGATGAATTTAATTAACAGCTGTGGATTAACTCTGGGAGTGCTTGCTCAGCCTCTACCGTGCAAGCCTCCTAGCAGCTTCAGTTAAAATTTTGCACTGAATGAAGACTACAGCTTACAACCCTGGACTTAACATTTCATGACAAAAATGATTAATTTTTAAAGCTTTGCCACTGCCAGAACTGCTAGACAAAACTAATGAGTAAACTATTCCTGATATTTCAGAATCTGCCTGATTTTTTTTTTCCCATATACTTATGGTTTTTGCATCTAAAGTATTTAAAGATTATGTCTCCGTTCCAACAAGACTTCTGTAACTTTAAAAGCCACCTTCAGAAATTACAGTGGAATAACTTCAGTTCATATACTACTTCTCTGAAGTAAAATAATTCAGTAATTAATATCCCTTATAATAAGAGTAGTTTGGTTTTGCTTGCTGAGATATTCACATCATTTTTTTCCTTTGGGATAGGCTTGTTTTTGTGAGGACTTTTAGCAAGCAGTTTATTAAAATCCATAAAATGTACCTTGAATTAAACAGATCATCCAGGAATTTGGTCAATCCATTTAATATTTATGGCCAAAAAGATTAAGGAAAAGGTTCAAAAAGGGTGACATTTTACCATTTAAAGTTTTAAACTACTCTTCAGAATACAGCCAAAAGGAATTTGGGTACCATTCACAAAAGAGAGAAGGAACTTCCCTTCCTCTTAAATGCTGTATCTGAGGGTTTTGGGATGAAGGGTGAAGGAGGGAAACTTAGCTTTCTAATCCCCTTTTTGGGGGGTTTCCTAAGCACTCCACTGTAGGGATTGCCACATGCTGTATGACTGTCCTATCCATAGGTATTAACAGATAATCTCTTCTGAAGGTTTTTGAATAACGCCTACTCCTCAGATCCAAGAATCCAAAACTAAAATGAGATAAGTGTCATTCAAGTGTTTAATCCAAAACATTTCATCAAATTATTCAAATTAAAAAAAAAGGGGGGGGGAGGCGGGTTAAAAACTTCCCTCCCCCACCTTTGCTCTTAGCCCCAGGGTAGTCAGTGTTTAAAGCAAAGGAACACCAGAAGCACCCCAGGACAATGGTATTATGAGACATTGACTTTGTCTACGGTGCCCCATAAAGCTTTGATCCAAAGCAGCTAGGGCATGCAATGCTTTGCTTACGGACAATAAGCGGTACCTATAAAGCTGTTAATGCTTTATGTCCTTCCAGGGAAACGCCTGCCCTAATATTGCTGGAATATGCGGTGGCAGCCAGGCCAACATGACCGTGCTCCAACATTGCAGACTGAAACAGGCTTGAGTCCAAGCTAACGGACAGCACAAGCAAAGGCCATTCTCCTCTTCATCCTGTATTCTGCAACATGCTCCAAAGCCTGTGGTTAAGTGAAAGTTTTTGTCCAGGTACTTTAGATGCAATGAAGTTTAAGCTCAGATTTCTTCTCAGAAGCAAGCAAACAGACTGAAATCGGGACTGGCTCAGGTATCTAAGAGCACTGAACAGACGTTAAGCTATACCCTCTTTGAACAATGTGCGAGTGAAAGGACTGGTCAGGATTTGTAACTAATGGCAAAATCAGATTGATAACTTCCTACAAATGGAGCAACTTCCACCTCCACCTACGCCAAAGGATGGCGTTTTTGCCACGGATACTATCACCGCAGAGTCCACAGTCTGGAGACTTAAGTAGCAGGGGAAGAGCAAAGGAGTGGTTTAGCTAGAGAACTAAGAATTAGATGACTTAGCAGATTTTAGTTATTACAAGATATGGAGGGAAGCTCTAAAAGAAGTTAAAAAAAATGTTGCATTAGGGAGCTCTGCCAGTGAGTATCGTGCGTTTTACAATTGCACAGATGGATGCAAACTACCTTTTCTAAGTATCAGCAACCCATATTCGTGTTTGACAGAATGAGCAGGCTTTTCCACAACGAAAGCCATAGTTTTCATCCCCACTGTGATTTCCAAGCTGATTATTCTCCTGCCTCCCCCATCAATTCAGAGTATGTATTCCAGCTCTGTTGTACCTGGTCAAAATATAACAGCACAGGATTTAAAAATAAAGAGAGGTCAGTCAGGAATTACAGCTGCAAATAAAAACAAATGGGATACCAGCTAACAATTTCATTACTGCATCAAATCTTTAGTAGAGTTAAGATGTTATTGGGTTAAATTAAAAAAAAAATCATGCTACAGAGATATTTCAAAATGCCAAGTGATATGAAGGCAGGACAACACATTTACCTTTAGAAAAATAACTGCACAAGGAGCTAAACACCTAGTCTCTCACCAAAACTAGAAAGAGATTATGTCCTTTTGCTATAGACAAGTCAGCCTTCCTTCGGCCTGCTTGTTTTGGTGTATTACTATCCTATCCTACTTCCACAGACAAACTCAGAGTGACGACTCTCCTCCAGCCCTATGTAAAGACTAAAGTTGCTGACTGATGAAAAATAGGGAGTACTTGAAAACTTTAAGCAGGCTGGATCCATTGCACCCACATCTCTACATAACACTACAAAACCCTTTCATTACTGTTCTGTGTCTAGCTGCTGCCCCACTTTCATGTATTATACAGATTGGAACACATCACCCTCATCTGGGTCTGTTTGGTCAGAAACAATGAGCTTCTTCCAACAGAAGAAACACTGTCTTTTTTTTGAAAAATAACTATAGACACCAGTAAGATTAGTAGCAACCTGGCTACCTCTTTGTTTGTTTGTTTTCTCTCCCGTTTGGCCAATATCCAACAGTCAATACCTCTCCTTGCTACTAACATGCTTCTGATATAATGTTAGCATTTTAACAAAACGTCACACATTTGTATTAGCTTCCATTCCTCTCAAAAGGAGTCAGGAGAGTACATCTGAGGGAACAGAACTGATGGAAAACAAACAAAAAATTTCTGGCCTTTTTTCTGTAAATTTAGGGCTACTGTGCTTGATTAAATAAGAGCTTATTCCCTTCCAGGCTATGTGTTTCTGTTTTCTGCAGTGATGTCATACCTCTGCATTTGATCTCAACTTTTTAATGGAAATTATTTTCCGGTAGCACAAACTCAACATTATGACTTCTCTAAAACCCTGAGAATGAAGATGGCATTGGAAAGAGCAGGATTTGTTTAAACCCATATTTTGTCTTCAGTAACTAGAAAATGTACCAAGCCAAATGATAAAAGCAGCACAAGTTAAATTTACTTCTACTTTAATATTGATGCATATAAAAACCTTTCCAGTACCATAAAAGTTTATCTAAACCGGAATTCAGACGTACTGCTTCAAGGCTTTGTTCAAATCTCAATACAACCTCTAGGCTAGAAGCCCAGATGCATCTTAAAGACAAAAAGTACACAAGATGAAACAGATGTGGCACAGAGGCCTTTAGAACATAGCAGTCTTCAGAAATACAATTTTCTAAGTCAGCCATATCTACAGCCAGCCATGAATAACCCTTCTAGTAAAAGCATAGGGTTACCAATACACTGTTTCTGCTCCTGTACTTCACTATAATTCAGAACTCTTTTTTAGGTAATGACTAATATGACCTGTTGAATGCAGGATTATTGCCCCCAGTTCACCACACACTTAAATGCATTCTTATCTTAATGTAACACATTTGGGCATGGGGCATGACTGAAATTCTTAAATTTGGAGACACCAAGAATTAAGGCAAGATCCTATTTGCTTTCATATAAATAGAAGTTAAACTTGACAAGTGTTAGTCAGCATTTCTGGAACAAGCAAAGGCTGCACAGCCTATCCTGCACGCTCTGTTACATGTTGCTGTTGGTGGTGACTCACACACAGCTGAAGTCCCAGTTCCACAAGCATGAGCAATTTATTCATACAAGTACTCCGAATGAGTGTAACCATTAACTTTAAAGGACCTTAGATTTCACTGCCTCAATTCAACGCATCATTTACATGCCTACATCTCTGCAGATCAGGCAATGAGTTTGTCAATTTTCTCTCAGATAAATTGCTGTTATCAACAGAAGAACAAAATTTCTGGGGAGAGGTGGGAAGGTGCTTAATCAGCTGGACATGCTGTCTAAAATTTTCTGAGCGTGATTTAAATCAGTCAAATAAGTAAACATAGAATCAGTAATAAAAAGCCATGTCAACTTTACACAAAACACAATTTTAACAACGTAGTTACTAACAGTGTAATATACGCTGATATTTTGTGCAAATGAAAGTTGCTTAACTTCACAATAGCAAGTGTTACAGTTCTGTTGGTGTCTCAAGTAAATTAGTAGTAGCTATATATATATTCAAATATAAAAACCAGAGATGAATCACTGAGCACATTTAAAATTACTAATAAAACATCAATGGGAACTTTGACTACAGATTTGGACAGAGGGGTTCTCTCCCCCCGCCCTGAAGTTGTCAGGGACAAGTCCCTTGTTTTCAGTGTCCCCTCTTTTGAATGCCTTCAGATTTCTTAGATATTCTGTGGAAATTGCTAGATTCTAGATTCTGAAGTTTAAAGGAAAAGTTATTTGCTTGACTACTGCAAGTTTCCATTCAAAGGAAAGGAATTAACATGCAGTTGTTAAAACTCTGTGATCCTAATTATTCTTATGGAAAAGGAACAGAGAATCACTCTCAGTTGTATGGCAGGGAGTAAACAACAAGCAAACAACTTTATCCCTTAATCACATCCATTCTCTTCCGCTACTTCAACTAACTATCTGCAAATGACACCCATTTACAACATTTTAATCTTAAAGTGTTACCAGCAGTCAAACATCCGATCCTCAGGAAAGGAAACGTGCAGTACAATAGTTTTATCATCCAGCATCAAAACAGTTGTTAGAGAAGTCCTATAGCCTGAGTATCATTTAAATTTTTGTTCTTTAAAGAAAGAATTATGGATCTGTTTGAAATAACAAAGTTGAGTATCAAAACTGCATATTCACAAAAAGAGACAAGGCCCTTTTTGCCTATGATAATCTCATTACTTCCTCATTAAGTAAAACTTAATCCAAAATAGAAAGATCAAGTTACATAACATTTAGAATTACCAGCTTCATGGAATACTCTTGTCACATTGCAAGGAAGACAAAAAAAATAAACAAACAAACACCCCTCACTCATCTGAAAATCCACACATTTCAATAGGACTACTATTTTCCTTCCATTTCTTTGAATATTTTAAGTGGCATAACCAAGATAAAATAAATTAAAAACCCACTTCATACAGAAAAAATTGCAACAATCAAATAAAAGAAAGAAAGGAAGTCAATTTATAACAAAATGACAGAGGATATGAAAAAGGTAGGAACTGAAGTTAGTCATGTCTGCCAATGAATACTGACTCGAGTGAGTCAGCTGGCACTTTGTTCTGTTGTGGGGTTTTTTGTTTGTTTTTTGAACAAGATCCATACAAGCTGGGTTCACTGACCAGACCTATGGTCCATGCATTTCCAAGTTAGCCAGCTGCAGACAGCACAGCTGCCAGTTTCAGAGTTTAATGGAAAGAGATGGTGAAAGGAAAAAATGGTCTTACAAATCACGATTTCAGCAGTTTACTCCTGGCACATTGCTGGGCAATCCTGGACAAAGTTCTGCTTTGCTGATTGAAAGGCAAAAATCCCAAGGCCTCATTGACTTTTTGAGTTGAACATTAGAAGTTTGCAAAGTTTATTAAATAATATACTTTAAAAAAAAAGTTCCATCTAGCTTCCTATTCATTGCTTTAACATAAAAAATAAGTTAAAAATAAGCAATATGTTTCAATATATTCATTTAAGGTTTTACTATAGGACATTAACCTGAGTTCTACATTATAGCATCCTACAATTTTCTCCTTTATTAAAGAAATAAAAAAGGTATGATAAATTGACCTTTAATTGTCTGACTCAAAGCATACCTGCTTATTCACTAGCCTACATGGAAACTAGGTTTTTTGTAATGGTGCACTGAACAACTTATCACACTGCTGCTCTGGCATCCATCAGATAAAATGCTTAAATCTGCATTATTCATTTAGCACAAGAGAAATAAAGACAGTGTAATAGAAAGCTGAGGTAGAAACAATGTTTCCTGTATTACAGAAAGTATCTTGGCTTTGCCTTGATACTTTCTTTCTAATAACGTAAAATAAAGCCGAAGCATAGTTTCAGACCCTATCAAAAAATTGGTACAAGTGGCACAAAATATTGCAATTTAATTATCTCTTAAAGCCCACCAGTTTGGAACCAAGCATTTCAACCATCCACATAAAACTGACATTATACTCTCTAAGCTAGAAAAGGTCTGATTTATATGAACAAGGAGACTAGATAACTATACAGAAAAGTACTAAGGTAAGTGATTTCCTGCTTAGGGTTTATTTGCTTTAGAGCACTAATGAAATCATGCTACAGGTCCCAATTTGACCTGCTTTCTAATGCCTAAAATGAATCAGAGAAACTCATTTTGCTTCTACATAACTGAAACATTTAACTTGGTGGTAAAATAAATAAAGCAATCATTTTGGTAGCTCAAGAAAAAAAAAGTCTTGGCACTCTCTACAACAGGGGGCTCCCAGACGTGCTCAAGGCACAGCACTGTAGATTAAACCTGTATTAAAATACCGCGCAGAGTTGCCAATTCAGACGTTGTTGTTACGATATTTCCAGAAAAAAGTCATATTATGCATTTTGGAATGGTCGGTATGGCTAAGAGGAAAAAAAAACTGTCTATTTTTATATAAAAGTTTTAGCGCCATTCTTCCTTCCATGCATTTAAATTTTCTCTTGAAGACTCTTGCTCTGCAAAATAACGGCCATTCCAGTCCAGCTGCATGTGTAAGCTTATGCTTTGTTTTGGTGTGCTTTTTGTAAACTGAGGTCAGTATTTGTTTACTACAAAATTCTTGATACTATACAAGTACACAAGAGGAAGTGATTCTAAAAGAACTAGTGTACATAAAAAATAAAAATAAGTGACTTCATGCACAAATCCTGCATTCTACTCTGAAATACCACATAATCCAATGATTCAGCCCTTCCTAACGGGCCCCACTCATGGCTGCTTTTTAGCTTTTATGCCAATTTCACCAGTAACAAGACAGCAATGTTAAGGAAGCAAAAGAGCAAACTGGAGGCTCTTGTGGAGGTTATACCTCATGTCCTCATAAGGTCAGAAACATGAGGCTGCTACTGAAACAGAGGACTACCAGCACCTATAAGAACAAGGAAGTCTGGCTGCCTGAAGCATCAGATTGTGCTGTGACTTCTACCACAGGAGTTGGTAAAAAGGGAGAAGAGGAGCAGGAAGCAGCTCAGTTAATTATGCAGCTCACAGTCTGGGGACAGACCACTCTGCAAGGTAATAGTGAACCAATGCCAGCAGAAGGCTTGGCCCTCAAGTAACTCACTTTGGATAAATTGATGGTGAAGCACTCTAGATTAATGATGGCAGCAGGCTACCAGATGACAACCCTGATACGGCCTTCCATATGTATGTAGCCTGACCATGTATTCCTTCAAAGAAGCATCTTAAAGTTGTGGCGTAGCAATACAGCAAACTGATGGCACATCTCTACCTAAGAGAGGTCCCTCTTAGGCCTGGTATGGAAAGAATCTACAGCTACATGTTGTGCATAATGCTTGATTGCCACCCTCAGTAGCAATATGTTTCTCTTCTTTCCAGGGACAAACTCCCTTCTCAAAAATGGCTTTCCTATCAAGAGGACCTGAATACAAGAATGCCTCCTCCCCTCACAGGCAGGAGTTACCACTTGTAGGCTTGTTGCAGGCATATTTCTTTACCCTTTAATACACAGTACTTGATCATCTGTAACTTGCAGAATCAAACAGGCAATGGTCTCATCATACATAGTAGTTGCAAGTAGCCCTAGTCAAGTTGTAACGTCACAGGCAATCTGCTCTTATAGAAAGTAAACATAGGCCTCCTTTTCTGGGAGCAGGTTACAACTATGCAACAGGCAAGGATTTAATTGCAAATACTTTTTAACATGAGACAGGAGAAACATTGACTATACTACAGATATTTCAAAGACAGATTCCAATGCGTAAAAACGCAGAGCCAATGGAATAAGCATGTGATATTACAGGAAGGAATATACTTAAGGAGAAAGGCCTTAAAGGAGCTGTAGCAGAACAGTGGGTCCTTTAATAGGCACCACAGTTACTAAATCATCAGATACTAAAATAATCAATACCAAGTAGTAGCAGAAGCTCAACAGAAGACAGCTAAAGCAGCTCAGGATACGTAGAATGCCACAATTCACTCTTAAAAAAATAATGCTTACAAATGACTGAGTTTTAAAAAAAAAAAATCTACAATATATCTACACTACTATTGTCAAATCACAGCCCCATCGCCCTTCTGATAAACTGACCAACGTTTTCATTTCCAGTGCTGCAAACTGCACAGTTAGCTAAAGAAAATAGAACCATTGTGACTGTGAAAACTGTATCTTGCTATCTGAAGCCCAAATTTCTCAAAGTAGAGAGAGAAACAGAAGTCCATTTTTTTGGTTTATAGAATGAAACAGAATGAACGTTTCCATTTTACAAAAGGAAGCACCTTTTGCCACATGTTTCTGTCTTTGTTCTCATCTTCTGTGTAGTATTTCAGATTAAAACATTTCCCCCCACCTCATTTTCATGCTAACTTTGTTACGGCTGTTTTTGAGAAAAAGCTATGTGGAAGAGTTCACTGCCCCCCTGCAGGCCACCTCCCCACAGTTCTGCTGACAGAAAAATTTATGTACGTATTCCTTAATCAACTTCAGGCAGAAGTCAGCTAGCTTAGTTTAAAAGATAAATAAATAGATAAGATTTAAATAGACAGTATGAAGCTGTAGTTCTACTTCATCAGTGCTTCAAGGACATATTCTTCTGTGTAAATGGGTTCTATCTCCCTTAGCAAAGATATTCTTTTCTATTATATCCTACCAAAACCCACAGCTTCTTCAGTTGCTATGAGTCGCACATCCAAGGTCACACAGAAGAGCAATTCTGAAACAGTCCTCTCAGTTTAACAGATCACTTCACAAACCCAGCTTAAGGTGAAGTCACACAAACAGGGCTAGTAACTACTGTGGGGGAAGAGGAAGCTGAGGAAGCAGGACCTTTTAACCCAGCACTGACACCAGGCTCCACATCACAGAACCGTACCCTTAGCTAGCTTAGCTGATCTTTGCCTGGCAGTGACAAGTAACTCCTCCCACTGGCATAGCTTGGTTCAGAAAAGAACATTTGTCTGCAGTCTAAGAGGCAGCAAGGAAGGGGGGCAGATAATTCACATGATTTAGAAGTCACTGCAGGTTATTCTGTCAGGAATATCAATATCATTTTGTATAGCTTTTGCCATTTCTGCCAAGTCAAATTTGTAGTTATGTGCAAGAAAGCATTTACTATACCCCCATTTTAAATCAATGCAAAATGTTGTCTGATATCACACTATAAAAAATAAAACTTTTGTCTGAAACGTCTCATTTACAAACCTTGGAAGTGCAGAGTCCATAAATAAATAAATAAATTCTTCTTGCATATGCATTTTCTTTGTTGCTTCTCTATTCATAAGGATCTCACGATTTCACTTCAAAATTCTGCATCCCTCCTCTGGTAAGATAATTTGGTCACTTTTGCAGCACACTGAATTTCCAGGCCACACATATGGCCTAATAAGCAGACATGTAATGTTTTATTCAGCTGGAGAATCCTAGTAGTCAATAGGAGCAAGACTTTACCTGCCCTTGAGCAGGTGCCTGCATTCTGAAGAAGAGGGTTTGGGGGTGTTTTTTTGTGTGTGCTTTTTTTGGGGGTCTTTTTGTTTGTTTGCTATGGTTGCTTCATTTTAAATAGGCTGCTAATTTCCACAGAATCTGCTTAAAAGCTTAAGATCCGAAATGCCAAACAGAGCAACTGCTAATCATTTTTTTCCTCTACAGAACACCCCACTTGGCTTCTCCTCACATCCCCACACCAGATTTTCCACCATGTGGCTGCTGCTGAGCATCCCAATTTTGTCAGATGCAGTAATACTCAATAACAACCCTGACTTAAACGTGCACACGTATGATGAAGCCCTGTTTTTGTAATTTGCTGGCTTTAGCAGCAAAGCTTATTTAAGGACTTCCCATCACCGGTCACTTCTTTGTCCCTCCCACTGCAGTACACTACCTCTCAGTAATATCATCAAAACCATTCATGATGCCACACTGTAAACTGGACCACTACATCAATACAGGATTCTTTTGTTTTGCCAAAAAATGTTACTTTTTCTTAAAGCTGAATCAACTAGTGAGTTCATATGGTATTCCAGTAAGCTGTTAGCCCTCAAACCTCAATTTTGCTCAAACAGGTACCTAGAACAAAACACTTGCATTGGCTGCTGCCAGAAGACAAGGTCCCTCTGTCCTTGACTCTTTACATATACCTTAGTGCAGGCATTAGAAGCAGAAACAGTGAGAAAATTGACCAAACTTTTTAAAAATATATATATATAGAGAGAGAGAGAGAGAGAGAAAGAGAGAGAGAGAGAGGGAGGGAGGTTTCTAGCATAGTTCTCAGGTGGATCAGTTTTCTAATCTAGCTCACTCACAGTTGCAGGATCATGGCTGCCAGCACAAGGGAAGCTGGAGAGATATTATGACAGGGTAGAACTGTCCCCTTCCTTAGCAGCTGGCCTTGGGCCAGATTAAAGTGGCTGTGTAATCAGAGTCCTGGTGATCATGCTGAGCACTTTGCAGGATTTAGATTCAATTGTTCATACTTGATGCTTCAAAGTCACAGAGGGGGAAAAAATGATCAAAAAGCAAATAGCTTAGCAGTATCCAAATAGTTTTCCTCAAATTTATTTTTTTACAGGGAGAAAGAAACACAGAAAGCAAACAAAACCTATACCCACGCTAGAGTACTTATTTTGTACGCCACAGTCTGAAACTGCTGGCATTTCTGTAAAAACCCTCCCTGAAACAGCAAAATATCAGTCCATTCTATACTAAACTTCAGAAATACACCTTCCATTAGGTGAAATCTCTCACCAATTCAACAATAAAAAGAGAACATTTACTGCTTTTTAAACCAATGAGATTATAGTTTACAAATTACCCAAACCAATTGTATCATGATTGACAGAGTTGCTGTGACATCAACACAATGGCTTGCAGTAACTTTTGAAATCAAATTGTAGGTTTTAATGAGGAAAAAAAATCCACACATCTAAATAATTACCCCTTGTGAATGCTAAACAGCTGCTCATTTGTTTAGTTAGCCTGCCAGGAGCATCACTCTCTCCTCCAACTACACTTTTCTTCAAACCTTTGTAATTTCAGCACCTGTAAGAGATTACAGATAAAATAGGTACCACTAGACAGGTTTTTTTTTTGGTGGGGGTGGGGGGGGAGGAGGACAAAAGGCAGCACTGATTTTGTGACTGATATTTATCTTCATAATCTCACACTTCTTAGGAGTAAGCCTTCTATGTCTACAGTTCTTGCTTCCTTAACCACAGCTACAGCAGTGCCTGTGTGCTTACATCAAATAAGAAAACCCAGGTAATCTTGCAAACAGAGAAATAATAGCTAAAATTAAAGCTAGGCACAACAGTGTTCTGTAAGGACTATGAATATCTGTGAAATTAAAAAAAACCACACAAACAAGATTTCAACTTTGATTAAATTCAGGATAGATTAAATGAAGCAGAAAAACATATTAATGACTTGAAAGACTGAAGGAGCACAGTGATAGCAGCAAAACAACCAGCAAATACCCGTTAAATAAATTGCTTGTCTAAAAAGCTGGAAAATGAGCAGAATCCTTTTGAGAGATCAGATTTAAGGCTTATAAGAAACCAGAAAGATTCAGAAGGAAAATATGCCATCAGTTTTTTATAAGATTTGCAAATATAATGGAATCAGTGCTTTCCAAATGACACGGAGAATTGAAAAGTAAAAATCATTTTACTCCCAAATCACATCCTGAAGGTGAATAAACAGAAACAGTACTCATTTGTTGCTGATGCTAAAATTCATAAAACCTGTTTAACAACAAAGGATATTATTAGCTAGTGGAATTAGCTATCAAAAGAATCACTACATTATGCAGCTCCTTCTATCTTCAAGTTGAGATCTGGTGCCTTTTCATAACATTTTGTCCATACTGGGCTCACTACAGGGATAAATAGGTGGGAATCGATGGCCTTTGAAACATGGGAGTCAAATTAGACAATGTAGTGGCTTCTCTGGTTGCATGACTCTGACTGTATGACTAACAGTAGATAGAATGAAATTGTTAATCTTCAGTGATAGTCATTCAATGTACTTGCAAATCTGACAGGACTTCAAAATACTATTTTTAATTCCTTGTGCCAAAACAAACCAGCTCAAGATCACCTTCTTATTCTTTAGTAGGCTGGAGAAAAAAATTGTAGCTATATGACTTAAAGCCATTTAAAGAAATCCCACCCTGCCCCAGCTGCAAACTCAGAATGCATGGCTCTGCAGGGATACGGGGCTCTTGGAACAGTCTGTTCCAAATAACATTGAAGGTTACAGCTGTCCACCTGGAACCACCCAGAATCTGGATGGCCTAGAGATGGCATGATGCCACCTTTCATATCCTGCCAGTAGTCTGTGCCTTCTGTATTCACAACACGAATGTTCAGATATGGTTCTGTTTGCAAGGGCAGGCAAGTAAGCTTCTTTTTCTAAAAGCTGTTATCTGTGGGAGCTAAGCCAATCCAAATTATAGGTTAAAACCAGTTTAGACCGATTCAAAATTGATTTAATTAATCCAGTACACCTTTGGTAAAAGCAAGCCTGCAACTAATGAAAGCTGTTGGTCTCATAGGTCATTTCTTTCTCCTCCCTTTCTTCTAGGTTGGTTTCTTCTGATTTCACATTTTATCTTTCTTATTTTCTTGCTCTCATCCTTTTCCCTTCTCTCACTGCTTACCTTATTTCACCCTTGTTCTCCTTTCTTTTACTCAGCTTTGACTGTTGTTCCTCTTTACTCATGTTTCCTATCTCCTAGAAATAGGCCACTACTCCGGTTTGGTAGCATTTTATATCCACTTAATACAATGTGGATAATGAGATTTTCAGGGCAGCGAGGAAACAAGACCCCTGCTTACAAACGCCAAGTGGAAAACACTTGGTGAACAACCATGCTGTAGTAGTACCTACTGAAGTAGCCCATATAGCGACAATATATATTTTAGAGATTAAAAGTTACAGCTGTGACATAAGTAGTTTCTAGGGGTAGAAAATTACATGCTAAGTAGAAAATTAAGAGAAGGGAATATATGCATTTTGAGTTTTATAGCTGACCATGTTCAGCTATCCCCCACTTCTTAATTGCAGTTCCTTTCTTAACAGGAGGTAAATAACGCTGTAGTTCTACATGTGGTGGCAGCACTGATCAAACCTCTTCAGAGCTGCCACGTGCCCCTATGCCAGTCTAAGAATTTGGGCATCCCATTGCACATGCATTTTTAAATAGTTATTTTTCAGCCGGATTCTTACACAACTTAGCAGGGGAAGGGGTTGAATGAGACGACTTCTTAAACCAGCACAGACATCTAAAAGCTGCTCACTAAATTATATCCCAAATCCAAGCTCGCCTACAGGAGAACATCACTACCAGTGCTAGAGTTTTCTCAGTGCCCTAAACAAGCATCAGGATAAGGTGAAAAGGCAAAAGCATGGTAGAGTGAAACGAGAATACATGCATTACTCAGTACACTCAAGTGGCACTCTGGTCTTGGCTTCTTTTAGCTGTTTGCAGGGTCAGCATTGCATTGGTCAATAAAGTTCCACTAAGTAAAAGCAGTAGACCGGCAAAAAAGGAAATGGTATGGGTCAGAGAATGAGCTTTTGTATTTTGGACAGTCACATCACTCTCACAGCAATAAGATCAGATATTTGCCAGGCCCCACCAAACTGATTTACAAAGATACCACAATTTTTTTTCCCCTCTGAAATAGGGGGATTATATTTCTTCTCTCCAGACGTAATTCCCTAGGCCATAGTTAGAATTAGGCCAGTAGCAGAAGCTTCAAAAGTGAAGGAGTTCTTCAGAATGCCAAGCAGAATATTTTTCTGATCTTGAATCAACACCTTGAATTCACACTCACTGCGCCTGTAGCACGAAGGGCTACGCATCCCTCAAGGAGTCTTACACATTCAGAGCAGCAAGTCTCCCAGCTGTGACTCTTTACAGTTGCAAAACGCCCGACGCTAAACCCTGAACTGACCTAGGACTAAACCCCAGCTTACCTCTAGGCCTCCTGCCCTCTGCGGGAAAGCGCAGAGGGAACCACCAGGAAAGGGTGTCACAAAGGTCGGACGCTCTCTGGCCCTACAAAACGCGGGGAAGGAGGCTCCAGAGCGGGACGAGAGGCAAGCGGCTCC